TTAGTGGTGTCATGGAGGGCCTGTGAGTAGGTAGACTGATCCTCACCACTGGAGCTGCAAGTTGTCCAAGAGGCCAGAGGCTGACATGGGAACCCTGTTGTTTATAACCCTATGGGACAACTTCAGGCAGGAGCCTGCTGGTCTATGCCACTGTGTCTGTCATCTGGTTTCTGTGACTTGTTCTTCTGCTCAAGGACCCCAGAGAAATAGATACCATTTCTCTGGAGCCTGGCTCCATAGGGGCTAACAACTTGTCCAGAGAAAAGCATTTTTCCCTTTCCAGGCCTGGCACCTGCAGCCTTCTGAGTTGTTCCCTCTCAGCCTGGCATCTGAACTCTTCCTTACTTCCCTTTGTTTTTCCTCTGGCCCCTTCTATTGGCTCAGACCTCTGTGCTACTGGTTGGAAGTGCATCACATGAGAGGGATGGTTATGTCCCTCAGGCAGTGAGCAGCCTGGGGGGGATATGTGTGCGCACACGCGCAGGCCTGAGGTCAAAACGGGCTGATGTGCGATCCCTCGGCAGGTCTGTGACTCCGACACTGTGCTGGATCCAGCCTGCACCATCGAGATGCTTCGAGTCCTGGAGGAGGATCCCCAAGTAGGAGGAGTTGGGGGAGATGTCCAAGTAAGCAGCAACCAGGGAATCCTGGGGGTGGGGTTCAGACTCTGTTTCCTAACCCAATTGGATATGCCTGGGAAATGGGGTTTTTGGCTTCCTAGTATCTGGGGCAGGTTCCCCTCTGACAGTTTTCGCTGGCATCAAGGCCTTGCCTCCTCTCCACATCTGTTAGTGATTTCTCCCCTCATGTTGAGAAAGAGTAGGGAGGGGGGAAATCGCTAACAGGTGTAGAGAGGAGGCTACTATTGCAGGGAGGGGCATAGTACTCTGAGGCTGTAGATCCTAGAGGGTATTTTCTTTTTGACCAGTGGTGTAGCATGTAGCTCCTAAGTTAGACCTTTGCGAAGCCTTAGGGCTTGGGCTGAAGAGCTGTGGGCAGTATGGTAAGAATGAGGAACCCCGTCTTCTAGAGACACAGCAGGCAACATCCCATGTCTCCCTTAGAAGCTTTCCAACTGCAGAAAGGTCAGGACAGGTGGCTGGGGTGGTGTTCTGCATCTTTCCCAAGTCCTTTTCCCTGCCCCACCACCGACTGCTTCTTGAGAACGAAGGTGGCTTTGACTGCTAGACGACACAGTAGGGAGGGGCAGCTGGTGCTGGGAACAGTAAGTGCGAGTGGGTGGCGCTTCAGGTTTCCCGGCTCTGGCAGGGCTAGAACCGATGGCCAAGAATTTGAGCGAGGGGCCGCGTGGTCTCTGGTGTCTGTCTCCCCTGGGGCTTATCTCCTAGGTGGGGACGCCCAGCATCTCTGTTCCCCTGCAGATCCTCAACAAGTATGACTCGTGGATCTCCTTCCTGAGCAGCGTGCGATACTGGATGGCCTTCAACGTGGAGCGGGCCTGCCAGTCCTACTTCGGTTGTGTGCAGTGTATCAGTGGGCCCCTGGGCATGTACCGCAACAGCCTCCTCCAGCAATTCCTGGAGGACTGGTACCATCAGAAGTTCCTAGGCAGCAAGTGCAGCTTTGGGGATGACCGGCACCTCACCAACCGAGTCCTGAGCCTTGGCTACCGAACTAAGTATACAGCACGCTCCAAGTGCCTCACAGAGACCCCCACTAAGTATCTCCGGTGGCTCAACCAGCAAACCCGCTGGAGCAAGTCCTACTTCCGTGAGTGGCTCTACAACTCTCTGTGGTTCCATAAGCACCACCTGTGGATGACCTACGAATCAGTGGTCACAGGTTTCTTCCCCTTCTTCCTCATCGCCACAGTCATTCAGCTTTTCTACCGTGGCCGCATCTGGAACATTCTCCTCTTCCTGCTGACGGTGCAGCTTGTGGGCATTATCAAGGCTACCTATGCCTGCTTTCTTCGAGGCAATGCAGAGATGATCTTCATGTCCCTCTACTCCCTTCTCTATATGTCCAGCCTTCTGCCAGCCAAGATCTTTGCCATTGCTACCATCAACAAGTCTGGCTGGGGCACCTCTGGCCGAAAAACCATTGTGGTGAACTTCATCGGCCTGATCCCTGTGTCCATCTGGGTGGCAGTTCTTCTGGGGGGGCTGGCCTACACAGCTTATTGCCAAGACCTGTTCAGTGAGACGGAGCTAGCCTTCCTTGTCTCTGGGGCCATCCTGTATGGCTGCTACTGGGTGGCCCTCCTCATGCTGTATCTGGCTATCATTGCCCGGCGATGTGGGAAGAAGCCAGAGCAGTATAGCTTGGCTTTTGCTGAGGTGTGACATGGCCCCGAGCAGAGCGGGAAAAGTGCAATGGGTAAGGGAGGGAAGGGGAAAGGAAGAGAAAAATTGGGGAGGGAGGGAAGCGGGGGAGTGCTGTTTTAGTTTCCCAATGGTCCAGAGGACAAATCTAAAATGCAAATGGCGACCACAGTATGGCCTGGCAGCTCTGCTTACAGGCAGCAACACTGACTCCTTGGGGTCAGGGCAGAGGGAGCTTGTACGTTTCTAGGACGCCTGTGCAGTGGCCCATGGGAAAGATTTTCCTTCTCATCTTGGGCTCCAGAGCAGACTCAGAAGTGTGCTAAACTAAATGAGAAGTTCCATTCAGTGGCAACTTCTGATAGTTATATGAGCAATGGCGGCCTGTGGAAGCGCTTCTCCTAACCCAACCAGAGGTGGTGGAATTTCTATTGAGAGATCTGGGCCAGCTAGTGTTCCCCGTCCTGCCCCCCAACTAGTCATCAATGCAATAAGATTGTGCCTGAGATTCAAGGCCCAGAAGGCTGATCTCTGGGCATTAGGAAACAGGGTCCAAGAATGGTGCTTTATGTGATGTATCCTACTCTGCACCTCAGCATCCCAGGGATGAGCCAAACCAGCAGGGAGTCAGCACTGAACTGCTTTTAAAAGTGTACATTAAAAAGGAAGGTTTGCCAGGAAGAACAAAGATTGTGGTGGTGCTAAAGGCCATAGGTTATAGGGAGGCCTTGGATGTTCCACCTAGAAACTGCTCAGACTTCTAGATGGTTCTTAGCTTACCTGTGATCTCTGCTGGGGAGATAAAATGTTTTAGCCATCTATCAGGAAGATTAAATCCCAACATGTTCAGAAAGGAAGTGAGGACTTGGGTATTTTAACCTGCATACTACTGAATTCCTCTCAAGTTCAGCTCTAAGGCCAAGATATCCTCCTCACCTTTCTTCAAAAGCACGTTTTTGGGGAATAATTGCAGTCACCTCTTCCACCCTCATCATCATCATAGGTATATTTTCCAGGGTGGCAACTGGGACAGAGCCTAAGCTCTTGACCCTCTGCAAGAGGCAAGCCTGTTCTCAGCACACAAGGGAACTAAGAGGAGCCTCTGATCAAATTGGCTACAATCTTGGAGCTGCTTGGACTGACTCCTTGGTAGCCAGGTTAGTATGCACGAATTTCAGGCTACTGTTCTTCTTGACAATCACCTCCAATGGAAAGCTTTTCAGCGTTCTCAATCTCTGAGACTGTTTTCCTCAGTGGCTTCCCCAGGGAATTTACAGCCAGGTCATGGATAGCCACTGCATTTGCTTGCTTCTTTCCAGAAACCAAACTAGGAGATGGAACTAGTTCCTACATCCTAAGGTTCTTGCTTTTTCTGTCATGCCTCTTGAAGCTGATTTCCCTCTGATGCTTTTGGGGAGTAAGGGGAAGCTGTTTTCTAGTGATTTGCAACCCACAGACTGTTTTCAGCTTCAGAGTTTAAAGCCTGGGATCTTGACGAAGCCTTTGACTTAGGGGTTGCTTGCTCACTTTCTCCCAACACCCATGCTCAGAGGGGCCAGCTAATCCCTCAGAACCAGCACTAAGGTGGAAAGCAGCTGAGGGCGCAAGCCTCTAGGTACCCAGGTGCTTCCTACCAAGACTCAAAGTGTGCTCTGAGCCACAGATGGACAGACCCTGGTGCTTTCCTTCATCTCCCACGAACCCAAGGGTTTTCCAGGTGTAGCCAAGTTTCCAGATCACACAGACCTCGAGTTTCTGATAAGACTGCTGGTTGATGCCGGATCCAACCCATGAAGGCTGGGAAACAGCAGGCATTTGCTAAAGACAGTTGTTCTGCTGGCCAAGAAGTGAACTATTTTGAGCACCATAATGGAGGAAATCCGGTCAGCCAACTGCAGAGCTCAGAATTCACTAAGGGCTTGTTTTTCTTCAGCGTTTACTTGAAGGCTAATGTTAGGCTGATGGACCCTGAACGAAGAACTCTTGGCTGTCCTGCCATCACCTCTGCCCTGCACTGTGGTCAACTTTCCTCAGATCAAAAGTAGGCAGGTACAGGTAGTGAGCTCACAACGTTTGACCTCGACTGGTTTTTCTAAGTTATTTTGTACATTTTCGAGCAGCAAAACCAAACTGGGTCTTCAGCTTTATCCCTGTTTCTTGAAAGGGAAGAGCCTTTATACAACTGGATGCATTTTGGTTTTTCCTTATTGAGAATTTTAATCCTCTTTTGTATTATTTCTACAATAATTTGTAAACATATTTATTTTTACCTAATTTTTTTTTTACTTTTCAGGTCAAATTTTTTATACTGCACTTATTTGTCAAAATAAAGATTCTCACATAATGCTGGTATCTCTGAGCTACTTCCTCTTTGTACTTAATGAAAGCTAGCTCTCTATTCCAGTTTCAAAAGAGAAACTTGAAGTAGAAATAGTTTTGCCAGTGTAACTTAAGAACTGGGAACACAGTAGGCCCACCATGGTAACTGCACACCCATGGACACTTAACTTTTAAGGTAGAGATGGGGTAGGGTCTTTGGTGAAATAACTGGCAGATGCGTAAACCCTTGCTGAGGATAAAAACCAAAGCTTGCTTCCTCTTGGAGTGAAAGCATTTTAGCTGGCAGATAATGAAAGATATAGGCAAGCTATAACAATGAAAAGCAGAGTAAACTTCCTCCCTGTGGAACAGGTAACGAAATGGGTGACATCAGCAGCCCTCTCAACCCATTTATTAAAGAAAGAGTAAGAAAAGATACAATGCAGGAAAAACACCAACCATCCTTTCACATCAGGCTGAACTAAGCACAGTGATTTCTTCCCCTGACACCCCCAGCCCCCACCCCAATGCCCATATTCCCATCCACATCAGTTTAAATTTTGAGGTTCTTTGATTGGGAGTACCAGTGGAGAGGGAGTATGATGAGTAGAGGAGCCTTAAATCTAGCTGCCTCTAAGTCCCAGGAGAAGGGAGCCACAGGCCCAGTCAGTCAAGCAGAAATTGCATTTGGTGGGTATTTGAAGTTGATGTCCACCTCCCCATTCTGTGTTCAAGCCCCCAGGGAAAGGCATGGCAGTAGAGGATGACCAGGTCCAAGCTGCTCAGGTCAGAGCTACTGAAGCATGGTCCGTTCACCAACACAAAATTTCTAGAGAGCGGTGATCTGATTCTCCTGTGGTGAGCAGGGAACTACATGTGAATTGGGACCTGCAGGCCAATGTATCCCTGAGGAAAAGTCCACGAGAACAACTTAAGAAACTAGTAAGAAACAAGGGGCAGAAAGCTGTGGGACAAAAGCACAGCAGGCTTCTGAAGGGCTGGAGATCCTTTCTCGCAAGACCGGGATTATCCCCACCTGCCACAGTCCCAGAAATAACGGTTCACCTTCAGCCAAAAAAGCAGAAGAAAAAGATGGCTCATTTGGGCTTGAGCCCCAGCTACGTTCTTCAGACTGTCGCTCCCCATCTAGCCTTTTACCAAAAGACAGCCCCTGCCCAGAACCACAGCGCCTGGAAACCAAAGTGGTCCTGGAGGGAAAACAGATTTTATGGGGGTAACATTCCATTTGGGTACATTGCAGCCATTGGACCCCCTGGTCTAGGGAAAGCAGCTGGGTTGGTGCCAGGTAGGCTCCCTACTCTAGGAAATGGGACCAAACTCTTGCCCACAGGGCCATTCATCCTTGGAAAAGATGGATTGAGACCCAGGGTCCCAGTTGGCCTTGCAAAAGGAGCTGGGTTGATACCCACAGGGCCTGCTGGAGAAGAGCCCATGTGCCCAGTAGCTGACCTGGGGAAAGCAACTTGACCAGGGCCTAATGGGCCAGTAGACCTTGGAAAGGTAGCTGGACTTGGACCCTGCAGGCCAGTGGCCCTTGGGAAGTTAGCTGAGTTGGGGCCCAGTGGTCCAGAGGCTCTTGGGAAAATTGCTGGATTTGAGCCCTGGAGGCCAGCAGACCTTTGAAAGGTAGCTGGGTTTGAAGCCAATGGGCCAGAAGACTGAGAGAAGGCAGCTGGGTTGAGTCCCCCTGAACCTGTTCCCCTTGGAAAGGGATTGGCATTTACCCCCATGGGGCCACCTGGCCTTGAGAAATGAGCTGAATTAGGGCCTATGGGGCCAGGAGCCCTTGACATGGGAGATGGATTTGGCCCTTGAAGGCCAATTCCCCGAGAACCAGGACCCGAGTTTGGGCCTATGGGACCAGGTACTCTTGCCATAGAGGATGGGCTTGTGCCCATGTTTCCAGAGGCCTGTGAAAAGGATCCTGAATTTGCTCCTAAAAGACCTGCCGCTCTTAAAATGGGGGCAAGATCTAGGCCTTGAGGTCCAGTCATTCTTAAGTTAAGACCAGATCCTGTACCCAAGAGGCCACCTGCTCTGGCATCCAGATTAGGGCCCGGGCCCAAGCCACCTGCCCTTGGGTTGGGCCCAAGGCTGGGGCCCAGGCCACTTGGTCTTGGGTTGGGCCCAAGGCCTGGGCCTGGAAACACACCTGACCTGGGGGCAGGGTTTGTACCTAGAAAGCCTGATCTCATATTGGGATTTGGTCCTGGGCCCAGGCCAACTGGCCTAGGATTAGGAGGACCATTCCCAGAGGACAACATGACACCTGCTCTCAGGTTGGGTCCAGATCCAGGACCCATGGGACCACCACTTCTAGGGTCAGGACCTGCTCCCAGAAGACCACCTGCCCTTGGGTTAGACATAGGACCTGGTCCTGGGAGACCCCCTAATCTGGGGTTAGACAGAGGTCCTGGGCCAGGAAGAGCCCCTGTTCTAGGGTTTAGAGTTGGGCCTGGGCCTGGACCCAAAAGGCCACCTGGCCTTGGGAAAGAAACTGCGCTTGTGCCAGTGGGGTTCATCCCTCGTGGAAAAGAAGCCATGCTTGGGTCACGAGCACCAGCAGGAAAAGGTGCTGGATTTGAAGCCATTGAGCCTGATGAAGCTGGAAAAGGAGACGGGTTCCTTGGAAATGGGGCCAGATTTCCACCAAGAGAACCTGCTGCCATAAGGAAGGGATCCGAGTTCATGCCCAGTGAGTGGCCTGTGTTCAGAACCGGACCCCCCTGTGGTCCCAGGGAACCGTCAAGCCGTCCTCGAGGTGGCAGCGGAGCACGAGTCCAAGGAGTTGGCCGCTCTCTAGGGAAAATCCGAGGTTCTTTCATACTTTCTTGGGGATGTTGGTGATAATAGGCTTGGGGCGAGTTTTGAAAAGGATCTTGTTTTTGATGAGTGCTGTCACCAGGTACCGGGTGCCAGTCTCGCTGCCAAGCTCATCACAGTCCTGCTCCCCAGGAGTGTGTTTGACAAGGACTGCAAAAGGTTTCTCCAGGTGGATGATTTTCCCATACAGGATATGATGCCCCACGATCAGCACAGGGATTCCCTTTGGCAGAACAAGAATAAGATGCCTGAGGTTCGGGGCAAGGCCATAACACTCAAGTGTCTTCCAAAGCTGCTCTTGGCAGGCAACGCTGGCACTGCAGTCACACTGGACAACCCACCCATATGCCCTTTTTACTCTTTCTAGCCCCACCTAAGAGAATTTCCACCTTCAGAAACGTGACCTTTCCAGATTTCCCAAAGCTAAATTTCCCTGCTATTGCAGAGGTGGGGGGGAGGAGAACAAGCAGATAGTTTTGCAGATTAGCTAGACCTTGAATAACAAACCTGAGGGCAGTCCTCACTCTGGGTCCTGGGAGCACCACCTTGGTGTAGCTTGCTTTCCTGAGGCATTAGTCAGGGAAAGAAAGGCCCCCTCACCTCAGTGGTGTAATGTAGGTCTCCCAGGAGGTTTCCAGCTAATCCGGTGCTGTAGCGAGCCTCGATCTCCCCCTGTAGCTCCATCAGCACCCATTCTGCCAGGCCTCCAGCCCCCGCACTGCAAGCAAAGGGCTGGTGGTTACAATATTTTTGAGGGGTGAAGGATGAATAGTGTCCTACACCACCATTCAAGGTTCAACAGAACTTTTTGTTGAACATTAAGTTCTTGGGAAATTGGGCAGTGCTAGGTATCGAACCAGAGATCAAAATGCAAGGATTGTGCAGATGCACTCAAGGGCCCTGATTCTGTCAGGAAAATGCCAAACCTATATAGCCCTAATCTTTTCAAGATACATTTTAAAATCTCAGAATATACTTACCTGGAAATAACAATTTGCACCATGAGCTTTCTGTCTTAAAAAGCAACTGAAAATAAGCTGTAGACAAAAAAGGAAAAAAAAAAAGACTTAGCATTCTAATAATGACAGCTAATATTTATCACCTACTATGTGCTAGGCGTTTTTCTAAGTGCTTCGGACACATCTCATTTCTCTAACATCATAAAGTAGTTTTATTGATATTGTCCAAATGAGATAAGGTTAAGATCTCCAACAGTCAACTGTAGTGTGCAAAAATAAAAGATATAATAATTTGTTCAAGGTCACATAGAGGATCTGAACCCAATAAAAATACTACAGATATCATACCCTTGACCACTATGCTGACTTGCCATTCTCAAGAATATTCATTTCATTTTCTATTTTTTGTATTTCTAATAAACTAAGGTATTCTTTTAGATTTTGCTTGAGGCCAGGAGTTCAAGGCCAGTTTGGACAACACAGCATGACCCTGTCTCTACAAAGATAAAAATAAAAAATTACATAGGCTTGGTGGTGCATGCTTATACTCCTAGCTACTTGGGAGGCTGAGGCAGAAGGATCACTTGAGCCCAGGAGGTCACATCACTGCATTCCAGCCAAGGTGACAGAGCAAGACTAATGCTTTGACCACCTTTCACTTAGATATGAAAATATCCGAATGGTTAGATAGGCTTTCATTTTATACAACGGCACCACCTGGTGGCAAGTTTGGAGTACTTTACAAGAATAGGTTAAAAGTGGGACATCTTTGCCTGAAGACAGCTGACTTCACTTGTATTTGTGTCTGAGGACAGATTTATGGGGGTGCTAAGGGCATGGGGTACCAAAATTACAGCTTCTGGCTAAGTCTTTCCAATGTATATATGAAGTTTACTAGAAGGTTATTAGTCCAGTGTTTACCAACTATAGTAAGAAAAGTTCATGGGTATTAAAATTCAAGCTTAGCAAACACCTGATTAAAACATTTAAGTTTTTTTTTTTTTTTTTGAGTCGGAGTCTCACTGTGTCGCCCAGGCTGGAGTGCAGTGGCACGCTCACAGCCATCCCACCATTGACCTGGCCTCAGGCGATCCTTCTCCCTCAGCCTTCCAAATAGCCAGAACTACAGGCGCGCGCCACCACGCCCAGCTAACTTTTTGGTATGCGGTAGAGACAAGGTCTCACCAAGTTGCCCAGGCTGGCTGTGATACCCTGGGCTCAGGCAATCCTCTCACCTCAGCCTCCCAAAGTGCTGGAACTACAGGCTTGAGTCACAGCATCAGTTGTTTTTGTTTTTTTTTTGAGTTGGAGTCTTGCTCTTACACCCATGCTGGAGCACAGTGGTACGATCATGGCTCATTGAAGCCTCGACCTCCTGGGCTCAGAACATTCTTCTGCCTCAGCCTCCCAAAGTGCTGAGATTATAGGCATGAGTCACCACACTCAGCCAAACAGGTTTCTTTCTTTTTTTTTTTTGAGTTGGAGTCTCACTCTGTCGCCCAGACTGGAGTGCAGTCGGCCGCTCCCGGCCACCGCAGCCTTGACCTGCTGGGCTCCAGCGATCCTTCCGCCTCAGCCTTCCAAGAAGCTGGAACTATAAGCATGTGCTACCACGCCTGGCTAATTTTTGAATTATTGTAGAGATGAGGTCTTGCCAAGTTGCCCAGGCGGGTCTCGAACCCGCAGGCTCAGGCAATCCACTCACCTCAGCCTCCCAAAGTGCGGGATCACAGGCTGATCCACCGAGCCCAGCTTAACAGGTTACTTTCTATCTTTTTTTTTTTTTTGAGTTGGAGTCTCACTCTATTACCCAGGCTGGAATGCAGTATGACACACAGGCTCGTGGCCACCCCAGCGTCGACCTGCTGGGTTCTAGTGATCCTTCCACCTGAGTCTTCCAAGCAGCCAGAACTACAGCCGTGCACTACCACACTCAGCTAATTTTTTATTTATTGTAGGTCTCATCAAGTTGCCCGGGCTGGTCTCGAACTCGTGGGCTCAGGCAATCCATTCACCTCGGCCTCCCAAAGTGCTGGGATTACAGGTTGAGTCACCCAGTCTAGCCTAAACATGTTTCTTTATTGATATGTTTATTTTCATTTCGGATCTCCAGGGAAAACTATATAGCCTTATGGTATGGCAGAATATCTAGAACACCAAACACATTTTGGGAACATGAAGTTGGTCAACTCACTGGACTTCAAATATAAACTAGCAGTTTTTACTGTGGATTGGACATTGGGCAATCCATATTGGTAACTCTATGACACAAGCATTTATCCCTATTTTGCAGATGACACTACTGAGGGATATACAGATTAAGTCACTTGCTTGTATGTGGTACACACAAAGTATGTGGCAGAGCCAGGATACAAACTGAGGTCATTTGACTTTGTCTACACTCATAATTATTACCCAAATTCTGCCTCCCCAAGAAAACCAATTGGTCAATGAGAATGAAAAGGAATCAAGGCATCAGGTAGGCACTGAACACATGCAAGAGTTGGTCAGGAGAGCAATAGGGAATCAAGAGGGCGTCCTTGAGAAAGCCAGACCTTTAGCAGCAGCACAGGTTGGGTACCACTGGAGAAGAGGTAACACACTAGCTCAGAGCACAAAGATTCATACAGATAGAGAAGCCCCACCAGACACTAACATCAACAGAACCCAAAGCATTTTTTTTTTTTTTTTGAGTTGGAGTCTCACTCTGTCGCTCAGACTGGAGTGCAGTGGCTGCTCCCGGCCACCGCAGCCTTGACTTGCTGGGCTCCGGCGATCCTTCCGCCTCAGCCTTCCGAGTAGCCGGAATTACAGGCATGCGCTACCACGCACGGCTAATTTTTGATTTATTGTAGAGATGAGGTCTCGCCTGCCCAGGCGGGTCTCGAACCCGCGGGCTCAGGCAAGCCACTCACCTCAGCCTCCCAAAGGCGTGGGATTACAGGCTGAGCCACCAAGCCCGGCTCCAAAGCATTTTTAAAATCCTTCTCTAAGGTTTCTTGAAGAAAGGATAACAACATAAAATCAGAAGGCCTAAATTCAGGTTTCTGCCTGTTAAGTGTGGAACTCTACTGTGTGGTCATGCACAAGTCACTTAATGACTATGGGGCTAATACCCAGATTATGACTTACTAAATCATTGTGAAAAGCAAATATAACATATACAAAATTATTTCAAAGACTCTACATTCTGTTGAGATGAAGAGCTAATTTTTTAGAAAGTGAGACAAACACATCAGCACTTGAACCCCCTAATTTTTCCTATAATTTAGAAAATGTACATTTTAGCCATAAATCTGAAAAGGTTAAAAAATGCACAAAGATTGAGAAGCCATTCTTGCAAATAAGCTTTGGGGACTGATGATGCAGTGTATTTTCCTGGATGAGCACAAGTTGTAGTAAAATACAGGTGGTTTTATAGGAGCAATAAAGTGTTCACATAGGGACCACATGTTCTAGGAAGATCAGGACAGGGAAGGCGACAGAGCCTTCTTCTTTTTTTTTTTTGAGTTGGAGTCTCACTCTGTCGCCCAGACTGGAGTGCAGTGGCCGCTCCCGGCCACCACAGCCTCGACCTGCTGGGCTCCGGCGATCCTTCCGCCTCAGCCTTCCGAGTAGCCGGAATTACAGGCATGCGCTACAACGCACGGCTAATTTTTGATTTATTGTAGAGATGAGGTCTCGCCTGCCCAGGCGGGTCTCGAACCCGCGGGCTAAGGCAATCCACTCACCTCAGCCTCCCAAAGGCACGGGATTACAGGCTGAGCCACCGAGCCCGGCGAGTCTTCTTCTTGACAACCAAAACCAATCATTAAGCCCTTTAAGCACATGCTTGAGATAGGCATGTGTATTGTTCAGAAAAAGAAGATACAAGGGGTTGAGGGCGACGGCAAGACCCCGAGTAAAAAGAAACGAAGAAAGAAAAAGAAGAGGCAAAGGTATTTTCAATGTATTTTCCATTTCCTCAACAGTCTCCTGTTAGAACAGAAATTCAAAACAGTAGCCTAACAGGGCAAAAAAACCAGGTGTCTGATTGCTTTCAATGAGCACGACACCTTTATACACTGATGTTGGAGGCCCTGCCTACGTACAACTATTGATACCACCAAACTCTTTTTTTTTTTTTTTGAGTTGGAGTCTCACTCTGTCACCCAGACCGGAGTGCAGTGGCACGCTCCCGGCCACCGCAGGCTCGATCTGCTGGGCTCCGGCGATCCTTCCGCCTCAGCCTTCCAAGTAACTGGAACGACAGGCACGCGCTACCATGCCCAGCTCATTTTTTGATTTATTGTAGAGATGAGGTCTCGCCAAGTTGCCCAGGCGGGTCTCGAACCCGCGGGCTCAGGCAATCAACTCACCTCAGCCTCCCAAAGCGAGGGATTACAGGCTGAGCCGCTGTGCCACCGAGCCCGGCCCCACCAAACATTTAAGAATGTTTCTGAAGATAATTGTGGTCCAGTCTCAACATCCTGTTGCCATACCCAGTGGCACATGTCTGTAATGCCAATTTCTTGGGAGGCTGGGAGGATCTTTTGAGCCCAGGAGTTCAAGGTTGCAGTGAGCTATGATCACACCGCACACCTGGTGACAGAGTAAGACCCTATCTCAAAAAAAGAAAAGAAAAAAAAAAAAACAACTAAAAAGGAGTCAGTGGAAGAGGCCTCCCAACAGCTCTCAAGTTCAATCTCAGATTTGGCTAAGACTAGCATCTTTAGTTATGAACAATAATTATAGGTTGACAATGTAACTGCAGAGCCAGGGAGAAATTTCTATGATTCAGTTTTTCAAAAAGATTAAATTCATTGTATTTCAGAGTCGGTGTTGGTCTCATAAGCCACAACTAGTGTGCAGCCTTGGAGAGCTGGGAAGGTGTAAAGAAAACGAAACCTCTTTCCCCTGCAATAATTAACTTATGTCCCTCACCCCAATCTCATAAGGGAGAGATAAAGGTTTTCTACTCCATCTTCATGAGCCTTTACACAGCTTAATGAACAATACATAAATTCCATATTCCTAAGTTAGTCAAATGACTAGTTCTGGTAAAGGAAACTGTTTTTAAAGCACTTCATACATTCTAACTCCCAATTTTTTCTTTAAAAAAAAAAGTCATTTGGGGGCTTCCAATTTTCTAGAAATGTTACTTATCTAGGCTTGCCCCAGGTCATCCCCAGTCTTAAGACCTGGGATTAGCCTGGAGGTAAACTGTTGCTTCTCAGGACAGATGACTTCAAGGTCCCAGGACAAATACTTGAGCAGCAAAGGAACCAGAACTCAGAATCAATCCAGACTCACAATGGGAACCCTCACCAAAACCAAAAAGCTTTGGCTAGAATCAGACCAATGTGGGATAGACCTTAGTTAACTATTACTTGGCTTCTGTTTTGAAGTTAGTAACTAGTATTAAAAATGTGACAAATCAAAGCACCACCACATGATTTCCTTCCAGACAGAGCATTATCTTTACAGTACAAAAAGTTTCATTTCTCACATAGCTAACCTTTGCTGAACCTGGATTTTTCATCCTGACAGCCTCCCTATAATGTAGGCATGGTCTTCTCACTCCCATTTTACAGATGAGCAAACAGGCTTAGAGAAGCTAAAGGTTAAGCAACTGGTCACACAGCCAGTATGTGTAGAGCTGGGATGTGAACCTTACCCCTTCACATTATGGCCCCTCTTGCTGTTCCACTCCCTCGCAGTCCCTTTATAGAGCACTTCTGCATGACAATGTCCCACTGGTCTACTAGCCTCCTTGTCACAGCATCTTTTACTAAATGGCAAATAAGTAACCTATGGGGAAGACCTTATAACCCACCATCAAAGCAGCTATTAAATCTGTGGGACAGGCAGTTAAATATAAACAATAAGCTTGCTTTCCTTTCAATGCCACCTCTAGGATTCAAAACTTTACCCTAAACTTCTGCTTGGTATGAGGAACAAAAACCAAGAGAATGAGGACGTTGTCATGGGTTCATTTTAATCTTTGACAAAATTTAATTCTCTTACCCTCTGGCCTCTGAATTGTTACAAGATTACTTATGTCTCACAGAGAACAGCTTAATGCAGTGAACCCCCTAACAGTAATAACAGTAATTACCTTCAAAATGTAGCAGACAAAAGTGTGTTGTGCATCCAATTAAACAGAACTTATAGCTTATAGCAAAACAAGTTTTGACTCATTGGTCTAACTTCACTACAGATAAATTTTAAGAAAGCTAACAATGTTTTATAAATTAGAACCTTTATTTTAAGAAAGGAAACCAATGCTTTAATTTTCCAATCCTGAATTTTAAAAATTCAGTATTTTTGCAGCCATAAAAAAGAACAAAATCATGTCCTTTGCAGCAACATAAATGGAGCTGGGAAACATCATCCTATATAAACTCAGAAACAGAAAACCAAACACCGCCATGTTCTCACTTTTATGTGGGAACTAAACGGCCATAAAGATGGAATTAACAGACACTGGGTACACTAAAATGAAGAAGGGAGGAACGGGGATTAGGATCAGAAGTTGCCTATTGGGTACAATGTTCACTATCTGAAAAATGGGTCATCTGAAGACTAATCCTCACCAGTACGCAATATGCCCATGTAACAAACATTCACTTGTACCCTCCTTGAATAAAAAAAAAATTAAATAAAAAACATTTTCTTAAAAACAAGGATGAAATCACATAACCATTAAGTGTCAAAATTAATTATTTTTAAAAATACATGACACAAACTACATACATCTGCAAATTGCTAGGCCAAGAGTTGGCATTTATTGAGCTTTTGTTTGATTCCAGTGTCTATATTTTGTTTAGGGATACAGTGAAGCACTCATCAGACTGACCTGAATTCTGTCATCTATCCTGTGTGACAGAGTAGTAGTCTCACTACCTAAGTTTGCTTTCCTAGCAATACACTGGGCATAAGTATATCCCAAAAGGTTGCAAGAATGAAGAATGTAAAGCTTCTGCACAGTGTCAAACACAGGGTGAGCCTCCAGAATCAAGCTACTGATTTCCCAGAGGAACATGGCACTTTCTCAGTATACATCCAAGAGAATGTCTTAATAATACACTGTTACTATTTTAATGTTTATAGTGGACTAAAAGATCCTATAAAAGCAGCAGGTCATCAGAATAAAATCAAGTTTATACAATGAGAGAATTCAAACATGGCAGGCATGGTTCACCAAACTGCTTCAGGGATTAAGTTGTAGGTCATTTCTCTAAATATGACTAGTTCTCTATGTGCCTTTCTACCAAATGAACAACTCAAAACGTTCTGTATAAAACTGAATACAGATTTTTATTTGCAGTGTTATTGTGGTTTTGTGACTGAAGGGGATGTCTTTTGAAGAGGATCTTGTCTCTTTGATACACTTATGTTACTAACTCTAAAGTCCTGTTTCTAAATGAGAAACTTGCTGCCCTCTAAAAAGGGGCTTATGGAGGTAGGTGGAACTGAATGCTTCCAAACTTTTCATTAGTGAAGAGTGTTTTCAAAAACTGTGTGTATGCTATGCACACACGTGGTACTTCCCATCACATTTTAGGATTCCCATGTTGGAGGGAATCAATTATTGGTATTTGTAGACAATAGGTGGAAAAGATGGCTTCAGTCGATCTGAGAAATGCAGTTTTCTCCATCTTCTGCTACTCTGCAGCCCATCTCAACCTTTCCTCCTCTTATTGCTACGGCCCCCTACCTTCCCCAAACCCTCTGTCTACTCTGGCCCTGCTTGGGGTCTCCCTCTATATGCTCTTCCTCCCACCTACCCCCCCACCATCTTCTCCACCCTCTCCCTTGGCCCCCTCCCACCCTTTCAGCTAGAGCTACAAACACTTCCTATTTCTAGTCCCGCCCACTTTCTGCGACTTCTCGATCAGCTTTCCCCCGTTCACCAACCTTCTCCAAATTACAAGCTGTTTAACCCCTTCTACCTCCCAAGGAAACTATTCTTTAAGCTGCCTTCCTCCACACCCCCCACCGGAGTGGTCTTCCAAACCGTTCGCCTTCCTCCCAAAGATTACTCTTTAAACGTCTTTTCTCTTCCACCCTCATTCTCCAAATTGTTCTCGGTTTTGAAGCACTTCACTGCCCCCCCCGCCCCGCCCCACTTGTCTCTTGGCTTTCCACCCAGAAAGGAACCTGGAATCACTCTTCAACCACCCTCCAAATTATCTCCCCCCAACACCTCCCCCCATGATTTAAAACGTCCCCTGCTACAAACCTCACCGTCCTACACCCTACCCCCCCTCCCCGAAGTCCCTTTTCTACTATTCCCGCTACTTCCTGGGTTCCAGTTTTACTCCGCTCCCACAAGCCTAGCAGGCTGGGCTCCCTTCCAACGGGGGAAAAACCCCTTCCCGCACGTACCTCGAGGTTCCGGCCCGCGCCGCCCCCTTCTCCGTCCTCCGCCCGCGCTCGGCCACCCTTTCCGCCCTTCTCCCGCTCCGCCCCGCTCGCTCCTTTCCTTCCCTCCGCCTTCCGTCTCCACACCGCTCCCTTCCCCCACAATCCCCGGCCCTCCCACCCCGGGCGCCCCTGTGGGTTCGCCCCCACCTCTGCGCCGCCCTCCCCGCTTCCCTCCCCCTTCCAGGCTACCCCTCCCCCGCCCGCCGCTCCCCGCCCCTCGGCTCGCCATTCTTCTCCCCGAGCCGCGCGCCCCGCCCGGCCCCCGTTCCCTACCTTCCCACTCCCTCGCGCCCTCGCCCCCATCCCCAGCTCGGCCCTCGCTCCCCGCGGCCTCCCGTACCCCCCGCCCGCGGCCTGACCTGCAATGGCGGCCGCCGAGCGCGGCGCCGCGCGGCCAACGGGCGACAACCGAACCTCCCGCCGCCGTCGCCGCCGCCGCGAGCACTGCCTGCGCACTTCCGGCCTTGCTCCAGGAGCACTTCCGGGGCAGAGCATGAGAGCGCGCGCGCACGTGGGGCCGGGGCGGAGAGAGGCCAGAGCCTGGAGCGGCGAGCGCGGGGCCGCTGGTGAATTGGGGAAGGGGAGTGGGAAGCGGGTGTCAAAGAGGGGCGTCTGAAGGGGTGTGGCCCGCGTAAGGTCAATGCCCGCGGAGTTCTTCGATCCACTTGTCCCGAGGTGGGGTGAGGGCTGCTCTGCAGAGCCTGGGAAAGGAAGGAGGCGGCGAAGACCTCCCGCGCGCTTCAGATGCCCTTTTAGTCTGGACGCGCCGGGCCGGGCCGGGCCGAGCCGAGCCGAACGCGCTACTGGTTTATAACCTTGAAGGCAGACGAGTGAGGGGCGAAACAGACGCGGCCTTTACCCTTACCCAGTATGTGTGTTGGCTGTCGGCGGGGAGAGAATAGTTGACAGACGCCACATCAGGCAGCTAGAGTAAGTCATCAAGTCCTGTCCCTTCCTCTAGAGTAGCTCTGTTCTAACTGCCTCACCAACCCCACTGTACTACCTTAGTTTAGGTCTGTGATTTGCAAACAGCATGCAATACAATTGGGGAATGGAGCTTGCTAAAATGCAGATTCCTAGGCACCCTCTGAGATTGGACTTTTGGAGCTGTGGAGTTGATTGATAGATCCTTGTGTGAACATTGTTATATATTTAGAAATTAACTTCAGAAAGATACAGTTGGAGCCTTCCATCCAGAACAGTGATATAAGGAACTGAATGCTACATGTAACATACTGCAATTAACGTTTAACAATAGTGACTCTTTTTTTCTTCCTTAGGAATGGGTGAATTCAAGGTGCATCGGGTACGTTTCTTTAATTATGTTCCTTCAGGGATCCGCTGCGTGGCTTACAATAACCAGTCAAACAGATTGGCTGTTTCACGCACAGATGGCACTGTGGAAATTTATAACTTGTCAGCAAACTACTTTCAGGAGAAAGTAAGTTATTTGGGAGCCTTATATGGTGTTTTTGATGTTAATTTCTTCTTAAGTTAAATTCTACGAAAACTTGTATGCCTTTTCTATTCAAAGTGATCAAGTGACTCCTCCTTCTGGAGTTATTTAGAACTACCTAACTTCTGTAGGAAATACGATATGAGAAGCTCAAGAGTTTTGATCTATGTAATGTTGGTTAGCAAGAGCCACCTAATTGTGGCATTTCACTGCCTGTCATTTGGAAACTGAGGTTTGCTGGATATTTGGCCACAAGAAGAAGAGAAATTATTGGAACTATCATTATAGGTATATTAGTCTCAACACTATTTCCTACTAGGGGTATCAGTACCCATTTCATAGTCCGTTAAGAAAAAATGATAAGAGCACTTTAATAATCAGAAACTTTTTGGTGACATGATGGCAGGAAGATGGATCCCTAAGTGCTTCTGATAGAATATAGATGTACATGCCTATATTGGCGGAGTAAAGGAGGTTTATTGTTTGTTTGTTCTTTAATCAAGAGATAGAGTCTCACTCTGTCACCCATGCTGTGTTGCAGTGGTGTGATCCTGGCTCACTGTAACCTTGAACTCCTGGATTCAAGTAATCTTCCCATCTCAGGCTCCTGAGTAGCTGGAACCACAGGCACATGACATCATGCCTGGCTAATTTTTTATCCTTTGTAGAGACTGAGTCTCACTATGTTGCCAGACTGGGAAATTTAAATTTGGTAAAATAACCTCTGAGTATATACAGAGGGTTGTTAGCACCTTTTTCCCAAGGGTGCTGATTACTGATTTTCTTCAGGTACAACATCTAAGTTCACATTTATTGACTGTCCAATATACTCTAGGTACCATAATATAAATGAATAGATGGGTAAATTTGTGAATTCAGTGCCCAGCAGCTTAGGACTTGAAATTTAGGCATTGTGTAAATTTTTCTAGATGAATAAGTGGCAAATACTGGACATTAAGACAAATGTCAGAGACCCACCTTTATGGAGCTTAAAGATCACTGGGAGGAAGATAAGTATACAGTTTACAATCTGTATAATAAGTGTTCTAATAAAGCTAAGCACAGGCATAGAATCTAGAGAAATACCTTTCTTGAGAGGTGGCTTTAGGAAACCTGGAAAGGGATGATTTATTGAGCTGACCCCTGAAGAACTAATAGGAGTTTAAAAATTGCAGGTTGGCCAGACTCGGTGGCTCAGCCTGTAATACCAGCGCTTTGGGAGGCCGAGGTGAGTGAATTGCCTGAGCCTGCGGGTTTGAGACCTGCCTGGGCAACTTGGCGAGACCTCATCTCTACAATAAATCAAAAATTAGCCGGGCGTGATAGCGCGCACCTGTAGTTCCAGCTACTTGGAAGGCTGAGGCGGAAGGATCGCCAGAGCCCAGCAGGTCGAGGCTGCAGTGGCCAGGAGCAGCCACTGCACTCCAGTCTGGGCAACAGAGTGAGACTCCAACTCAAAAAAAAAAAAAATTTCAGGTTGTTACCCACCACAAACGGGTTACCATGTATATTATGAAAAACACGCACTGATGCATGGTCATTTGCATCCTATATTTTTTTTTTGTCATTTGTAACATTTGTAATTATGTAATTTGTCTATTTATTTTTGTTTGTTTGTTTTGTTTTTTGAGTTGGAGTCTTACTCTGTTGCCCAGGCTGGAGAGCAGTGGCACATTCATGGCCACCCCAGCATCGACCTGCTAGGCTCAGACAATCCTTCTACCTCAGCCTTCCAAGCAGCTGGAAGCTACCATGCCCGGCTAATTTTTTTGATATGTTGTAGAGACAAGGTCTCATCAAGTTGCCCAGGCTGGTGGTCTCAAACCCCTGAACTCAGGCAGTCCTCTTGCCTTGGCCTCCCAAAGTGCTCGGGATTATAGGCTTGAGCCACCGCACCCAGCCTATTTGTTTAATGTCTTTCTTCCATGTTGAACTTTAAATTTGATGAGAATGGGAGCCATGCCAGTAATCGTCATGTCTATTCTCACTATTTAGCAAGTGCCTAGTACAAAGCCATTGCTGAGTTAATATTTGTTGAATGAGTAAGTCAACTGTTCCTTACCAATTTTCTAGTCTCCTTTATCTTTTTTTTTTCTTTTTTTTGAGTTGGAGTCTCACTCTGTCCCCCAGACTGGAGTGCAGTAGCACGCTCCCGACCACTGCATCCTCAACCTGCTGGGCTCCAGCAGTCCTTCCGCCTAAGCCTTCCAAGTAGCTGGAACTACAGGTGCGCGCTACCACGCCTGGCTAATTTTTGATTTATTGTAGAGATGAGGTCTCGCCAAGTCGCCCAGACAGGTCTCAAACCCGTGGGTTCAGGCAATCCACTCACTTCGGCCCCCCAAAGCGCAGGATTACAGGCTGAGCCACCGAGCCCGGCCCATCTTTTTTCCTTATTCTTCAACAATTAATTAACTCAGTCCAGTTGTCTGCTTTATCTATATTCCCTTCCCTACTAGTTAAGATTGCTTAGCTCTGCTAATCACTCTCAGAGCAAGAAAAAAAAATATTATGTTAATATATATGTTAATAATATAAAAATATTATGTGAAAAGAATAGGGGCTAGGAGTAAGGAGACCTACATTGTTTTCATGCCATGGACTTTGGCTCTTTGGGCAAGCCACTTAACCTGTATATATATCAGTCTTTTCAAGTTTAAGTAGGTAAAATTATATTTACTTAGTCCCTGTAGTGTCAAACAAGTAAAATTTTAAAATGCCTTGGTAGATATGAAAACTTTTTGAGTGCTAAGAAAGCACTTAAAAATCTAAGACGTGCCAGGCACGGTGACTCACACCTATAATCCCACCACTTTGGGAGGCAGAGGGAAGAGTATTGCCTGAGCTCAAGGGTTCAAGTCTAGCCTGGGCAACTTGGCAAGACCTTATCTCTACAATAAATCAAAAAGTAAGTCAGGGGTGGAAGGCACCCTTAGTTCCAGCTACATAGAAGGCTGAGGCAGAAGAATCACCTGAAGCCAGCAGGTCAAGGCTAGAGTGGCCAGAATCATGCTGCTGCACTCTAGCCTGGACAACAGAGTGAGACTGCGACTCAAAAAATAAAAAAAGAAATCTAAGACTTGAATGAAAAGCTAAGTAAGTTGCATCATTTTATTTTATTTTATGTTATTTAAGTACAGAACGCTTCACGAATTTGCATGTCATCCTTGTGCAGGGGCCATGTTGTTCTTTGTATCATTTCAATTTTAGTATATGTGTTGCCGAAGTCAGCACTTATTTTATTTCTAAACAACTTTTTACAGATAAAATTAACACACAGTAAGCTGCTTTTATTTAAAGTGTACATATGGATAGCAGTCAACATGAAATTATTACCCAATCAAGATAATTGCATTAAGTTTTAGAAAACTGGATACAACAGATACAATTGGATACATCAAACCAAACTTAAATACATACTTTATTCTGCTGTAAGGGCATGCAGAGCTAATCCTAGTAAAAGAAAAAAAACCAACTGTATAAAGGTAACTAAAATTTGAACCTGAAAAAAATGAAAATATCAGTAGACTTAATCTTCTGATAGCACAAACTTCCACACTAGTTTCTTATGGGTAAGTAATTTTCACCATGTTGTCTGTGACCAGTACTGGCAACTGATGAATTCATGGTAGGTTGAGAAGTTATGGTGTTTCTGCAGTTTTTCCCAGGTCATGAATCTCGAGCTACAGAAGCTCTGTGTTGGACAGAAGGACAGCGACTCTTTAGTGCTGGGCTCAATGGAGAGATTGTCGAGTATGACTTGCAGGCGCTAAACGTCAAGTATGCTATGGATGCCTTTGGAGGACCTATTTGGAGCATGACTGCCAGCCCCAGTGGCTCTCAACTTTTGGTCAGTAAGCATTTGTTGGTAATTCAAGATTTCTTTTGTGCCCATTCAGACTTTCTTCCCTGTGTTCATAGGAGAGTAAAGTTGTATTATGGCATGTAGCCACCCAACTACAAGATTAGAATTTATACTGAGGATTTAAAAATTCCTTGTCCTTT